GTTGCAGTTCCATCCATTCCATGGAACTTACATAACCCCTCAAGGACAATACAATTCCTTTACTAACTACCCTCCCTCGCGGGGTGGTCACCACAATAATGATCAAAACAGAGGTCAAAGCAATTACTTTCAATATGAGAGCCGTAATGTCAATGGACGAGGCTCCTTTCATAGCCGCCCCTCGCGGGGGCAAAGCATACGAAGACCAGTTGCAGTTCCATCGCGTGGAACTTACATAACCCCTCAAGGACAATACAATTCCTTTACTAACTACCACCCACCCTCGCGAGGTGGTCACCACAATAATTATCAAAACAGAGGTCAAAGCAATAACTTTCAATATGAGAGCCGTAATGTCAATGGACGAGGCTCATTTCACAATCGAGGCTCGCGGCCCGAACGCGGGAATAATCATGAACGCTACAATGTTCCAAGAAGTGGCAGAGGAAATACAAACAATGACAGGTTGACATGCCAAGCACCCGCTTGGAATGTATTGTACCCCACTTGTATATCCAATGTCAAAAGATCAGTTTTACACTCGCGTCTCACGAGAGATGTCTGCTGTAATATACAAAATGAAAAACAAAGGCGTTTTAAAAGTAGTGCAGCGCTCTCCAAGCTTTGTATCCCCAATGTTTCTGGTCTCGAAGCCCGACGGATCGGCTCGTCAAATATTCAATCAGAAAGCGTTAAACGGTTACGTGATGAGCGAAACATTTCACTTGATAAACATGTATCGCATTCCGGATTTTTTGCAGGCCCAAGATTGGCTATGCAAAATAGATCTTCCCAAGCCTATTTTCATTTGAGTATAGCAAAGTCGCACAGACGATTTCTACGCCTTGTATACGACCAAGAACTCTTAGAAATGACATGTCTCCCTTTTGGGTTAAGCACGGCGCCCAAAACCTTCGCTATACTGACGAATTGGGTGGCTCAAATGCTACGAATAAAAATGAATATAAGAATCCTAGTTTATCTAGACGGCTTTCTGATTGTAAATCAAAACCAGAACAAAAATCTGTTGCAACGTTAAAAGATTTGCAGAAAATAGTAGGTTATTGAATTTCGCCAGTTTTGTAATTCCTCGAGGGAGACTCAATCATCGACAGATACTGATGTTAATGCACTCGCTCCCACAAAAACCAGCTACACATCAAGAACCAGACAATATTCTCCAGGAACTAAGGTGGTGGTTAAAGAATTGCCGGTCGTCATCACTGATACATTTTCCACCTCCAACAAACTTTCTCGTGACGGACGCGTCAGATCAGGCGTGGGGTGCACTACTAAATGGCCAGACTCTCTCCGGTGTCTGGTCTCAAAAAGAGAAAGCATTACACAGCAACCAAAAAGAAATGCTGGCTATATTTTACGCTCTTCAAAGCCAAGCCCAGTTGCTGCAGAAAAGTTCGCTTCTCATTCAATGCGACAACAAGACGGCAGTTGCTCATCTACGAAAAGGAGGTACAAAGTCGCTTCCTCTAATGAAAATAACTTATCAAATTCTAGATTTATTAGATCAGCACCAAATTTACGTCAGTATGCACTATATCCCAGGCAAGTACAACAATCATGCCGATCATCTGTCACGACTGAAACAACTGCCGGAATGGCATCTATTACCAGCTTGTGTGGACAAAGTGTTTGCCAAGTGGGGAACCCCAATGATCGATCTGTTTGCATCAAAAACCGCGCATGTAATTTGCAATTACGTGTCCCGCGACCTGAAGGACCGTCAAGCATTATATCACGACGCATTCAGTGTCTACCACCCATGGGACTACCCACTGGCGTAGATATTTCCACCTCCATTTCTCATTCCGAAAGCACTTGCGCACTTGAACCAGTCATCGGGCATATTCGGGATCGGGGCACATCGGGAAATGTGGGGGTGGTCGTCCGCGATAGACTCGTGGAACACTGGACAATTAGGTTTGCTTAAATACTCTTGGCGGAAGTCTACTATTAAAACTTATGAAGTAATTTGGAAACGTTGGATTTCTTGGGCTAATTTTAATAAAGTCAATCCAAAACAACTGGGGCACAGTAAGCACAATTTCTATCGGATTTGTATTTGATTAATAAATTGTCATTTAATACAATACTGTTACATAAGTCTGTAGTTTCCACACTGTGTAATACTGAAACATCGAGTCGTCTTAGCTCTCATGTATTGGTAAAACATATTTTAAAATCGATTGCTCTTAAAAAATCAATCATTTCCAAACCACCGATATGGAACGTTAGTGAGTTAAAATGATTTTTAACTAATTATACAATAGACATCAATAATTGGTTTCAAATATCGCGTCATACCGCGATATTGTTATTACTTTGTTCCGGTAGACGTATACATGACCTTACGTTGCTCACAGTAGATGCGGAGCATTGTATTATATCGGATGAAAGTATAATATTTTGGCCACAATTTGGCTCTAAAACAGATAGCAGCAATTATCGACAATCGGGTTGGAAACTCTTGCCAAATATTAATCATCGTAATTTAAATCCCCTATTTTGGATTCAAAAAATGATAACATCATTGACTGAAAGACTAATTGCAGCAAAATCATTAAATCTATTTTTAACCATAAAAGGTGTGGCTAAGCCTGCCAGTCGAACAGTGATAGCAGGTTGGGTAAAAACCTTGTTCAAAGAAGCAGGCATTGCAGCAGCCCCTGGAAGTTGTCGGTCTGCTGTGGCTTCCAAAAGCTGGATTGAAAACCATCCCTGTGACGAAATACTAGCCCGGCCAATACATTCCAGCGGTACTACAGACGAGAAGTAGTACCTAATAATCAATCTAAAAATTTAATTTGATTAGAAAAACTAATTCATAAACACATTTTGATTACGTGAAATTTGTAATAATTTCAGTCTTCATAATAATTATGATATTCAATTATTTTTGTCGGAAAATAAATATAGATATATATAATTCATTCATACATTTTATTATTATTTACCCTATCGTCACATTGGCGTTTCTATAATAATAAGAAATTACAAATAGCGACACCAGGCGATAACAAACAGATCTCATAATAAAGCTTCCAGTGACGGTCAAGTGTTTTAATAGCAGCGTTTTACCTGAAATAAAACGCATATTAAAATACTTACCTCACTGGAAGCTTTCACTTTATATCTGCCTGGTGCATATTCACTGAGCCAATGATAAAAATGGCGCCCCAAACGTTTTACATCAACTAAAAGCGCACGACCGCCAGGTGTCGCTACTGGACCGGATGTACAAGGTACTAAAAAGAGGGTAAACTAGTAGAAATATGACGGAAACGGAAATGCCTTCTCATAATAAAGCTTCCAGTGAGGTAAGTATTTTAATATGCGTTTTATTTCAGGTAAAACGCTGCTATTTATCACATTGCCTGGACATTATTAATATTGCAATTGTGACTGTCAGGCAATCTAATTATAGACATTGTGTTTCCTGTAAATGCATGATTATTAAAATGGTACAGTACAGTCCGTGTTAAGTTTAAATATTACTTCTGAGGGTCATAAAATCCGGTATATAATATTGCCGTCGTTGATTTCCATTGAATGAGTCTGTCCGTCCGTCCCCCTCTATTCTGCTATAGTATAATAAAGGAAGGGACGGCTCCAATAATCTGATTCTCATATGGTATTATATATCATGTTTCACCATAAACAAAAGTGAGTTTTGTGATGATAGTCTTGCTTTTTGGTTTGCATGGATTTTTTTATTTTATTGTTATTACAGTTTAAACATTTACTTTTCATCCCCATCACTTGAATAATTGGCGCTCAACCAATGTGCGCTTCTCAAGACACTTTTGCCACGCACAACCAATCTGTGGCACAAGTTATCGTCTTCGGTATTTCCGAACCGATACGACCTTCAAACCTTCAAGAAAATAGCGTACTCCTTCCTAAAACCTCTTCTAAATAAGTAATAATTCTTATAAGTCTCATTCTTCGTAGGGTAAAGTCTAGTTAATTTAAGCTTTATTATCATAGGTGAGCAGAGTGCGTATGGAAGAAAAGATTTTATTTGTTTCTAAAATATTGATTTTACATTAAAAATAATATAAAACTAATAAAACCTGATTTGATTTACTCTAATAGGTGATAAGTAATATAAATAATGACCCGACGATTTAATTATTTTAATAGTTGTTATCATAATGCCCTCTCTTTCATTTTGGGCTTTGGGCATTTTAAAACTAATTGGGCACTTGACCCACAACAGATGACATGTGTGTTTGAGTAAGTTATTAAGCGCCACTTACACTGCAGTTTATTCTATAAAAATTAACATAATCTTCACTCATATTGCATAACACTTGTTTCATAGTGTAAATTGGGCTGTAGACACTCAATGTTCCATCTTAAAAATTAAAATTTGAATTTAACCTGATTGTCATTATTATTTAAATTCACATTGTTAATTCACTGTCTGGAAATTAAAAAAATAATCGTTTTAGGAATATTTGGTGGCATGCAGTATAACACACAACAATACATCACACTACAGAATAGTGTTATGTATTATGTTGTATAGAAAAAACGCCTTAATTTTAAACCCTAATACTATTTCATGTGAATCTCCTATTAAGAAAATTGTATTTGAAATTACGTACAAGAGTTGTATGTAGTAAGCTGAATAAGCTGCTATATTTTTGCTCTCAAATTGGCTTTTGCGTTCATCTCGAGACAAACGATATTGAGATAAAGTATGTCGTTTTGTGGAAATGTTGGTCCTAAATATAGGCGCGAGATTATTTCTGACGTGTGGTGTCGCGCGCGCCGTCTCGTCGGCTGCCGTTCCAATACCAATCTAAACACACGCCGACTCACCCAGTAAACTTTAACCGTATATTGCGCCACTGTTTTAAAACTGTTAAAAAGCCTGTAATTATAGCATGAGTGTTAGATATAAATTTGCGGTTGATTATTAGTGTTGTGATTTTTAGAAAATGTTCATATAGAATGTTACAATCAGTTTCATAAAAATGTTAGCTTTAGTTGCGATAGTTCTATTGGTGTCAACACAATGTGATTCACGCGACCCTTTAAAAGTTGGTGAGTTGCATCTTTGATTTTTTTCAGTTACATACCCTGTACATAATTTTAAATATATGTATACATCTATATACATAATCTTCAACACAAATTTATACTTAAAAATACATGCAAGTATGAATTTGTGTGTAAAATTCAGAATTGACGTAGTAGACTAAAATTAGCATGTTAAATTGTTTGTACAAAAGTGACCCAGGTAATGAGCTCTATAATTCAGCTTACCTAATGAAACCTTGGTGCTACGAAATTTGTACAAAACAGAGTAAGGATGCGATAATGACGCCATTAAGGTTCACCTAAAAGTTGGTGACATAATAGTATGTTTCCATTTCTTCAACAGTACCTACATGTTTTTGTTCAACTCTTAAAAACTACCATCGCATGGCAAGGTGAACCCTCAAATGAGTGAGTTCAAATGTTGTTTTCTGACCATAAAATTCTTATGAGATTTCCTGTAACCTGTAATAATATGTAATGCTTATAGAAATATTTCTTCAAATTTAAATAATTACGGTTCTAATTAAACGTACCTACGGTTACAATTTTTTTTAAAGAACTGGAAACTGTTATTCTCAAGATTATAGAAAAAAGCATGATTTAATCAATTATCAAATCTCACAAGTTTCAATTTGATTTTAATAGGTCTGAAAAGAAAGTGACATCAATATCAGCAGTAGGTAGTACATCTGTGTTTAGGTCAAAGGAATTAGATACATGTAATAGAATCGATACCCGAGTGATTCTTTAAGAGTTCAGTTTTTTTCATTTAATCGTTTCAAATCCTATACCTATGTATATTTTCAAATTTTTATAAAATAAAATACTCGAACTCGACTAAAATAATATCCTCCCGCTCTAAGTGTATTTGATAGTTGTTACTTATATAATTCTACAGTTATGATAATCTTGTGTTGTTAAAAAATATAATCTTTCTAGTTTTTTCGACCTTCTTAGATTCGTATAAGTTAATTGGCAGTCAAATCCGTAACTTAAATATTATGAACTTAAAATTACATAAGAAAAAGTAAGACATGCATTTACTAATGAAGTATACTATACGTGTGTAATATACTGTTTATTTTTTTTTATCAGGGGGTATATTTTACAAAGAAGCCGAAGATATGAGAATAGCCCTGGAAATAAGCGCCGAGCTCAAAAACTTCACTGCGTCCGTTAAGATGGTGTCAAAAAGGGGAGAAATCCTCGAAATAAGCAGTCATGTCTGCGAATTGGCTAAGGTAAACATTAAAACATAAATATGTCACTTAGTGCAAAATTGTGAATTTTAGGGGCTTAATAATTGTCACCGATAGGTGGTATCCGAGGGGATTTCCGCACGGAAAAAAAAGGGGCTTAATAAATGTGAAAGTTTCACAAATATGAGTAGTAGAATCATACTACAATATCACCACTAGTCAGGGCAAGTCAAATTACATAGTAACTACTAATTCTGCATCGTGCAATGAAAGTTCTCATGCCGATTCAAATTCGTCTTACCATCATCAAACGTTTGCAAACTAGGTTTGGTAAGTAGATTAATCGGTCGCAAAATAGAACAAATAGTATTTTGATTAGGTTGAAAATAAACCACTAAATTTTGTGAAAACATATGTATATTTGGTGTAAAGAGTTGCACGAAAGGGTCGAATGTGTGTAATTATTTCTAAATCTAGGGCTAGACGTGTATTGTGTGCCCTAGAAAGGACCACAGGTCACCTACAGCTTGTAGAGGAACCCGTCGTGTGCGGGAACCACGGTGTTCCCTTTCTACTTTCTAAAGGTCGCGCCGCTACCCCAGCTTGCTACTGATGGGGTGACAGATGGCGAAACCTGTGACCCCCAGGCCTGCGCTTATGGAGGACGGAGGTTCAGCGACCTCTGGTGCCTAGTCGTCTGCGGTACCTGGCCCGTTCCCAGCTACCGGTGCGCCCTCTCCTTCGCAAGCATAACTTGCTAGCACAAGGAGACGGCGCAAAAGAAAACTTGGAACCGTCGAGGAATTCCCACTCCGAGAAATTATACACCTGCAGACTAAGGTGTATCATCACAGTAAAGCTGATATTCTTTGACACTAATATTGTGTATAAAGTAACAATGTATAAAGCTTGACTGTGGTGTCCCTCAAGGTGGCATCCTCTCTCCTCTATTATTCTCAATATTTATCAATCTTATCACTCCGAATCTTCAATGTGCGTACCATCTTTATGCCAATGACTTGCAACTCTATTATCAAGCCTCGACAGACGACATAAATGAGGCCATTTCTATGGTTAACAATGACCTGGAGGCTATTGGCAGTTGGGCTGATGGGTTTGGTTTGGCAGTGAATCCAGCGAAATGCCAAGCCATCAACATAGGCAGTCCGCGCATGACTGGAAGGATGGATCAAAACAAACTGCCACCCATTACTTATAACGGTACAGTCATTCCCTTCAGTCCCTCTGTTAAGAACCTAGGCCTATTCATCGACTCCAAGCTCAGCTGGCAAACCCGACCTGGGTTTGCCAGCTGAGCTTGGCCACCAGCGTTAGCCAGAGAGTCACAGGTACGCTACGAGCCTTCTATCGGCTTAAAAACTTCCTTCCTTCCAAGACAAAAGCGATTCTAGTACAGACTCTTATTGTCCCTATCTTGGATTATGGAGATGTATGCTATTATGACCTGAATGCGACCAGATCTCCTCAATAAATACGACCGCCTTCTCAATAACTGCATTCCCTTCTTCGACCATGTTTCTTCCTCTCGTCGTGAATTGAACTGGCTCACGATTCGTCAGCGCCGTCAGCTGCAAGCCCTCACCACCCTCTATTCCATACTCAACTCACCTATTTCCCCTTCGTACCTAACATCCTCATTTCATTTTCTATGTGCCAATCACAACAGAACTCTCCGTTCATTAAACAATCCACTTCTGTTATGCCCCACTCATACTTCCGCATGTGTCCACTCTTCGTTCTTAGTCCAATCTGTCCTCCTCTGGAACGCTCTACCTTTGGAAATCAGGATAGCACCCAGTCGCCTCTCATTTAAGACGAAAGTCCGAGCTCGAATTCTCGACACTTTAGCAGACTCATCACATCCCTAAAGTTTTATATGTTATTATCTTAGTCTTGTATGTATTACTCAGCAAGTATATATATGTATGTGTATCTCAGTATGTATGTAACCTAATTTTAATTTCATGCACCTACTCAGACATTTCCCCACCACCCAAAGGTAGACTGGGAGAAAATGCCTTTGGCATTAAGTCCGCCATTGTACTTTGTTTGTGCAAAAAGAATTAAAATAAAATAAAATAAATAAAGTACAAGAGTGCATGGGTCAGATCATTTACTCTCTTACGGATTTCTACGTTAATCACAATTACTTTTAAAAACTCGGTTTTAGATTATGCACTGTGTGCTTTATTTGAATGTAAAAAAACATTTTATTTAGTTATTGGTACCGGTATAGTGTTACAGTACTTTAAACATGTAAAAATATTTATTATGTGCTTATATGTATTCTCTGCAATTGATACATAAATTAATAGATATGTATTCGCTGGTAAATTTTAAATTGAATCCATTATAGTAAAAGAATTTGATCACCTGATACATAAAGATGCCTTTTCTAAAGTTTTCATTTATTTCTTTTGTCCGTTCCATTGTTCTTTGGTTTGGATTTATCTAAAATGTGACTTTTTACGACTTTTGTTCAAATTTCCTTTATGTTTTGGTATGGTTCAGTATAATTTTGGCTACAAAACGTCAAACTTTTAGTTTTGATCTTAGATAATATACCTTTTTGGTAAAATGTTTTGAGCTACAATTTTATGACTACTAAAAAAGTTTCTTGCGAATATCGTATATTACTCTGAATCTCAAATATAAATAATGTGTTTAAGACGTTCTCAGTATGAACTGTCAATATATTTGCAGCGACTATTACTTACCTTTGCTAGCCTTAATCTGAGAAGTTAAAACACACCGTTTGTTTCTTTTTCTTTAGTTATTTCATCCTCTCTAAGAAATTTATGACTATAATTCTTCTTCTTTTCTTTCTTTTCTTTTTTAAAAAGACAACGCCCGCATTAGGAATAAATCCTGTGTCGCGGGGACTTTACAAACATACATGAAATGGACACAAAGGACACCCAGACTCAGAACAACAATTTGTGGATCACACAAAGTGTCGTCCCATGTGGGGTTTGAACCCACAACACTCGGCGCAGTAGGAAGCGGCGTGGCGACCGCTTAAACCACTACGCCATCCGTGCAGTCGGTGCAGTCGTGCAGTGCAATTAAAAAATAATTATCCAGAACTCCCTCAAAATGTTAATATTTTTGGTTTCAGGAAGGAGTGATTGGGATCATAGACGGCGTTGGGGGCAAGGCTAGTGAACACGTGCAAGGATTATGCGACTTGATGGATATCCCACACGTCTTAGTGGATCATAATGATATGTACAGTCAAAACTGGACCGTATTGAACATGTTTCCAAGCCCTGAAGCGTATAATATGGTAAAAAGAAAACTATTTTAATTGATGATATTTAAGTAGTCAAAATATTAATAGATATTTACAGATCAACGGACATTTATATTAATACCATATTTGTTCATGGATACGACTAAGGAATAATTTATTATTTTTAAATTTCGTATTGGGCTGTCAGTAGTCTTATATTGATTAGATTTGGAATGAATGCTTTTCTTAGATACTCTGCAACTTTAAAAAAGTATTATTATTTTTTGAGCCTGCATTCAAATTTATAACTTCACATTTATCTAGCCTAAAACCTTCAATATTTTTAATTCACCTAAAATAAATGATTTTTACCAACTTTATCCGAAAGAAACATTTACCCTTCGTATTTTGAATCTTGACCCAATATTTTTTTTAGGCATTGGAAAACCTCGTAAGACACAAAGAATGGAGAAATTTTACTATAATGTATGCAAAAGGCCACAGTTTGGTGCGCATGACTGACTTGATGCAAATGGGTAATAACAGTTATCCTTATGTTGTCAGCGTGAGAGAACTTTCTGGTGATGATTACAGGTGATTATAGTGATATTGCCTGCGGCTCCGCCCGCCTGTATGTCGATTATCGCGGTAAAAAGTACCCTATACCCTTACTCAAGAATCAAAGTGTCTCCATGCCATATTTAATTAAAGTCGCTTCAGCGGTTTAGCCGTAATAGCGTAACAGACAGAGATACTTTCGCATTTTACAGTGTGAAAATTAAACGTGTATTTGTGACATGTCTGCTAACCAACAAATGAAAGATTGTTTAGTTAGAAAAAATGCTTTACAAAGCATTTTAACGATACCGATTAACAAATATAGGTATAGTTTTTTAAAATATTATTCAGAACAATTCATACACTGTTAAACCCCTTGTCTAGTACAGGTACCATGTCATGCGAAAAGTGTAGAGGCAATAAATAAAATATGTAACCTAAACAAACGTATTTAGCATTTACATTATTTTCTATTAGCAAGCGGCCAGAAGCTTTTGCCTTGAAAGTTTTTGTGGAAAAATATTTGTGACAGGAATGTAATCCTTTGAAACATCTACGAGACTTATCGAGAGCATCAAATTAGACTGTATTTCGACTTATTCATACAAAAATAGGAATTCAGAGATCAAATACTCGTAGTTACAAAATTATATTGAACTAGCTGACCCGCGCAACTTCGTCTGCGTCTCTCAATAGTAATAAATTTTCTCCGTTTTTGAAACATTGACATGTGATACACTGTGAGGTGACGGCCCGAGAGGGATTCTACAAAAAAAAAACTATCTATACTAATCCTTAGAAGTAAGGACACACTTTGCATTGACAGTAGACGACGTACGACAGTCTTCAATTTTTGAAATATACAAATGTTTTTCCCCTTTTTGTCTGTGTGTTACATGACCTAAAACCCTTTTTCTTTAGGATTATGAATTATATTTTGCACTATTTAAAAATAAAATATTGAATTTTAAAATAAAATTTTCATTAGCACAAAATGTGTAAATATCTTTAAGAATCGTTTCCTGTAATGGTTGAAATATCTACATTCAAGAAGCTTGAATGCAATCCTCGCACTTGTATGTTTTTTTAATATTAAATTTGTAATGTAATTTACACACCATTTGTGAGGTTAAAGATTACTACGAAAATTTTAACCAAAATGAGTTTAAATCCAATATTTATTAATTTTATGTTTCATTTTTAAGTTATCCGTTTAGCCCCCATATCCTAAAATATTATGGTAATTTCAGGGACACATTAATAGATGCGAAGCACAATAGCTACATCAACTTTGTTGTGGATTGTCCGTCTCATAAACTCGAACAACTGTTGATCCAGGCCCAGCAAGTTGGAATGATGACCGAAGAATATTCGTATATATTTCTTTCACCCGATCTGTTTACTATGGATTTGGAACGATATAGATACGGTGGAGTAAATGTTACAGGTGAGCTCCTTTATAGGTCCCAGAGTCGGGTCGCATTGGTCTTTCGTTTTTAAACATGAATATAGAGGACAGGAAAACGGTCCTAATTTTATATCATAAGGGTCCAAAAAAGATGATGTGCAAGGTAGCTGGCAGGAGCTGTATGAGAGAAGCCCAAAATTGATCTAAGTGGCGTGCAATGAGAGAGGCACACAGTATACACAGTTCGTAATAATAAGTATTATTTTACAGGACTGCGTCTTCTAAACTGGGAAATCACTGAGAAACTGACAAATTTTGCAAGCAAATTAGCAGAAAGTGTGTTTGTGGCTACAACTCCAGAGAATATAAAAACTGAATTAGTTCTTATACATGACGCTGTTGAAGTTTTAGCCGCTGGTGTAGCGAAAATAAGAGGTTTGGAGGGTCAAGAACTTAGTTGTGAAAAGTTTGACTCTTGGATACATGGATCGTCTTTACTGAATTTCATGAAAACGGTAATTATATTATGTAGAATTTAAGTGACAGTCTACCGACGATAAACAAAATTTAAATCTGCTTTGATCCATTTAAAATAGTGATAGTGAATCACCACTAAATCACTATTAGTGATGTGCAGGATCGTTTAAAAATAAATGATTTAGTACCTTTATGTTATGTACTATTGGTATGGTAACTCACCACGAAAAATGTTTGCAATATAAAGGTGTCAAATATTAGAATTTAAGAAGTAAAAAATAATTTGAGTGGAATTTAAGGTTTTGATGAAAACCTATTAAATTCCATTCAAATTATTTTTTTATCACCTGTATATAGAATTTCATCTATGTATTCAAATTAATAAGATAAAAAGTAACGGATATGGATACGGATCTTTCTTCGTGTGTACGGACCGGTACGATCGTGTCCGATACGGACACGGCATATTCAGCACATCACTAGTCACTATTATGTAACTTGGATTCAAGTTTGGAGCCCTTTTTATTTTCAACATCAATAATTGCTTGAGTAAGTGATGTTTTCTTTCTGATTTATTGGTTATCTGTTTTACTGTATAATCTCTCTCTTTATTAAGAAACAAATTAATTTCATCAAGTGACAAATTAAGTACCTAGTATGCTTAATGATTGTATAAATTTTTGTTGTATCAAATCACACAATCGGAAAAAATATTATGGAGAATTTTATTTTTTACATCATTGATGGAATTGGCTCCAAAAGCTTTACTTACTTAGTGAATAACAACAAAAGATTGCTTAACACAGGTTTTTTGTGCGGTCGTGGTATAGCTCCGGTTTAACCAGCCCATTTGTGCTGAAGCATGGCTCTCCCACGTAAGCAATGATCTTTCTGCCAGTTGTTTTAATGCATAAAATTCTTATCAAAGTTTACAATATTTCTTACAGAATAAGGTAGAGGCAATAACAAATACCTTAGTTTTCGATGGCATGGGACAACGAACTGATGTCACTTTTCAAATGTTGGAACTCACTCCAGCTGGTAACGTATCAGTGAGTAGTGACTTTCATAGCGTCTGTTGTAGGCCAACCTGATAAAATTCTGTTTTAAGGAGTCAACCCATGAGAAATATTTGTCCAACTATTATAACTCTACTAACTACCAGATGGGTATTTTTTCAATTTTATTGAATCTCAGTATCTCAATATGTACAAAACTTACTTCATTCTTACTTATTTATCTTTCAAGGTGGCTGTATGGAGAAATAAAGAACTGGAAATAACAAGACCGGGAAGCATAGATGCAGAAATTACAGAAGCAACTGTTTTAAAAAATAAAACATTAAAGGTTCTAATTTCAACGGTACGTTCTTAATAAAAAACACTTTTAATTTCCAATTTATTTATTTCAGTTTGGCATTGAGCTTTTTGTTATTTATTTCAGACACCTCCATATGCATTTATAAAGAATTCTCCAGAAAAATTGGAGGGAAATGATCGGTATGAAGGTTTTACTGTTGATTTAATTGACAGACTGAGTGAAATGTTGGGATTTAATTACGAATTTGAAGTTGAGAACAATTACGGCAAACTACTTAAGGATGGTACATGGGAGGGAATGACAGGGGCTCTTATGGAAGAGGTAAGAATATTTAGTCTAAATCATATTTACAAGTGATAGGGTAGTTAAGGCGCGTAAGTGAGTTTACTTTTTTTATCTTATCGTTATGTAGGTACTATTAATAAACACACTCAATATTTGCATTTGTAATTTTATAGTTAGAATGTTACAATTAAATACCATTAAATAATTGATTACGCTTCAACATATCTGATGACAAGGAATTAGACCGGCTACTCCTTGTTAGCACCGACCCACGTAGTACCTATTATCCGTGTGGTGACGGATCAGTCGTCAGAGCCGACTAAGGGAGTAGACTATGCAGGACAACAACACTGCAAAGAGAAGGAAAACTTGACACAAACCCCATACCATCCTGTCTGGCCTGCGTAGTATAGTAGGCCATAGCCTCTTTTCTAAGGAGGGGTCTATGTCCGGCAGTGGACTATTAAATATTATGATGATTAAATACACTGTCGTATTTTTTTTTACTTTAAAATAAGTGTATTTTTGTATCTAATTTGAAGAAGGTTGACTTCATTATAAATGATTATGAATCGGATGCCTAGCACTACTTACAATGCTAAACCATTCTAATTTAGATCAATAATCACAATCACCATCATAATTGTCAGTTGTCTCGAAATACATGAGCATATATTTTATAGAAAGCAGACCTCGCCATCTGTGACTTCACTATGACATCACAAAGGCAGGCTTTAATTGACTTCTCGACGCCGTTCATGACCCTTGGAATTAGTATTTTGTACAAACAACCAAGTAAGCAACCGCCAGCTATGTTTTCGTTTATGGCTGTCTTTTCTAAAGAGGTAAGCCACCTTTTTTTTAATTCATATGTTAAAGCTATCGTGTGCTTTAGAAATAAAATAATATAATAATATTTCGATGTATGATAATATCAAATATTATGATGATATGATATGATATCTTCACAAACGACTTTAAAGCCTGGTTTGTCAGCAAACGAGTCTATGTTGAGTTTTTGCAAAATTTATATTTTAAGCTACTGCAACCTGGCGAAAGGATTAATTCTGTCCTATTCAGTACTGCTTACTGTATATAACTAGTCCGTTTGAACGGAGCAATCCAGACAGAGCAATCAGATTAGGCCAACAGAAAGCGAGTTATATTCAGCTAGTTTTTTTTAAATATAAACTGTTTAAGAATATACACATTGGGTAATTACCGAGAAAAGTTGAATCCAATGATTAGGTATTTGTAAAGTTTTAAGAGTATGTTTTTTGCAGGTATGGTACTACATGATGTTGATACAATTAGTTCTGGGCGTAGTTTTAATTTTCGTTGGCAGAATCTCGAACAAGGAATGGCAGAATCCAGTGCCCTGTATAGAACAACCTGAAGAATTAAGCAATCAGTTCAGTTTTGCTAACTCTGTGTGGCTTATTATTGGATCAGTGATGCAACAGGGCTCGGAAATTGCACCTATGTAAGTGTGATTATCATAAGTGTATTTTAACTTGTTATAAGATTATTTTCAAGTTAATAATTATTAGTTTTACATTTTTATGACCTATATCCTATTATTAATTCCGAGATGTTTTTGGCGTCCATAATTGGTTAAATTTTAGAAAAAGTAAGAACTAAAATAAATCAGTTTTTTTAAAAAGAAATCGCCCGTACTATGAATATATACTGCGTCACTAGGGGCTTTACAAACATACATGAAACGGACACAAAAACACCCAGACTGTGAACGACAATTTGTGGATCACACAAAGTGTCATCCCATGTGGGGATTGAACCCACAACACTCAGCATAGTAAGATGCGGCATGGCGACCGCTTAAACTAGTACGCCATCCGTGAACTCCAGTTGAGTTAGTTTCTCTTATCTTTTAATTTTGATCCTAACTACCAGAATTTCAGAAGCAAGTGGTATTTCATTTTTAATGCATTCATCCGTATCCGAATACCATCAATACGTACCACTACACGACCACTATAGAAACATGCAAGTCAAACATTTAACACTAGTTACGACATTTGCTTCTTTCCAAGTTAAAAAGGTTATAGTAGCTTTAATTTACTTTCTGATTTGGAACTATTCATTAGTAGTATAATTATTAAAAATATATTTATTTCAGTGCATTAGCACCACGGCTGATAACGAGTGTATGGTGGTTTTTCACAATGGTAATGGTAGCCTCATACGTAGGTACTTTAGTCGCTTTTCTTACTGTTGAGAAAAATGTGCTACCTTTCAATACTGTGGAAGAACTTTACAACCACAAATCGATTGCTTATGGACCTAAAGAAGAGGGATCTACGAGACAATTTTTTCAGGTAGCTATTTTTTTTTAATTCAAAAATATATGGGAGAGTAACCAATATTGAACCGGCACTTAAATTGGACCACTTCTGCACTTTTTTTTTATGTAAGAGGGGGAGGACGAGCAGACGGGTCACCTGATTTAAAGTGACTATCGCCGCTCATGAATGTCTGCAACTCAGGAGTCACAAACGCATTGCCGTCCTTTTAGGAAGGAGTACGCTCTTTTCTTGAAGGTTTGAAGGTCGTATCGGTACGGAAATATCGCAGACGATAGCCCGTTCCACAAATTGGTTGTGCGGGGCAAAAAGTGTCTCGAAAAGCGCACAGTTGTGGAGCGCCAACTATCCAGGTAATGAGGATGAAAATTTTGCCGTGTGGAACGATGGTGGAAATTTGCGGCGGGCATTAGTCCGAACAATTCCTCGGAGCACTCTCCATGATATATGAGATAGGGAATGCAGAGTGAAACCACATCTCTACGTAACGCCAAGGAATCGAGCCGATTGGAGATGTTTGGGCTATCGACGATTCGAGTCGCTCTTCGTTGGATGCGGTCCAGTTGGATGAGGTGATACGACAAATGGTAGCTTTTTTGCGGTGAACTCATATTCCTGTGTCTTTTTTGGGTTAAACTGGACTAGATTTAGTCGGCCCCAATCTGAAACCTACGCTAAGGAAGTTTCAATGTCAGACACAAGTTTGTTTCGACTCTCGATGACGTTTTCCCGAGAAATGTAGGGGCGGCCGGTATAAAGGGCATCTCCTGTGCTATCATCTGCATAGCAATGGATGCCACTAGTTTGCAACATGTCATTGATATGCAGAAAAAACAGTGTGGGTGATAGCACACAGCCTTGTGGGACACCAGCATTTACGAATTTCAAGTCGGAGCATGCACCGTCGACAACGACCTTAATGCTTCTGTCTGCAAGGAAGCTGGTGACCCAATTACATATTACACAATTTCTCGGGAAGCCCAAAGGAAGGGAGCTTCGAGAGAAGCGCCTTATGCCAGACGTGGTGTGAGGCCGCTCGCCAAGCCACGATGGCTCGTCGGTAGTCCCGGCTGGAGGTTCCAGGCTGGGTTTGCCACCGTGGAGGCACTCCAGCGGGTCATCGTGTGTGCAGGTGTGCAGGGTGTACAGCTGTGCAGTAGGCAGGGCGGCAGCACGGGACCCTTTCCTTCCGGACGCAGGTTCTTTTCGGGCACGGCTGCTACGGGAAGTACCTGCACTCGGTCGCTAGGAGGGAATTGAGTCCCGCTAGTCACCACTGCGATTGCAGTGAGGACTTGGCTCAGCACACGCTGCCCGGCTTGGGCGCCGCAGCGTCCGGTCCTCATTGCAGTTATCAGGGGGATCTCTCGCTACCGACCGTCATACGTTCCATGGCCGGTAGTGACAGATGTTTTACCACTGTCGCATCCTTCTGCGAAGACGTCATCTCGCAGAAGGAGGCGGCGGAGAGGGCCCGGGAGGACAACCTCCACTCGGACTCAATTCGTGGCCGGCGAATCGGGTGGCGGAGCTGCGCTTACTACCGCCTCATGTCGCCACGATTGTAGCCGCGGGTGGACGGGACAAGTTTTCCCCTCCACCCACCATAATGGCCAGCCATGAGGAAGCTACGTCCACGTGTGTCGGTCGGCGCCTAAATAGAGAATGTACCTCCTAGGAGGGGTCAGAATGTCTTAATAACAGCAGTTCCCGGATCCCTCCTATTACAGGCGCAGAGTGGCACGCCGTGTGGTTTTAGTCGGTCCGATTCCGACAGAAAACATCGCCGCAAACACCGGTGGGTGACGGCCCGAAGGGGTGGGTTTCCACAAAAAAAAAACTTACTGAGTGCCTAACGTATCTGCAAGAATGACGTTACTGGCCAGTCGTTAAAAACATTGACGTTCATTTATTTATAGCAAGTTCACAAAGAATATTTCTGGTTCTTATTTTAGAGAGTTGAAATATGATAGCTTATGGTTTTTGAGCACCTATTTAACATGACAACGGTATTTACCGTTGTCATGTTAAATAGGTGCTCAAAAATTCTCAGAGTTAACAGTGAATAATAAACTACCCTCCGATATAAATAAATGCCTAAACGAAAAAAATATCAATCATAATTTGAAGGAATTCTTTTTGGAAAACATGGCCTAGTTGTCTTTGTACGTAATCCCTCTTCCTCTCCTTGCCTGACTCGGAGTTCACTTTACCGTTCTGCGCGCGTACGCTTAGATTTTATAATTATTTTAAGAGTACCTACATAATGACGCATGTATTTTACAGTATGGTGTTAATTGTTATCAACCTCGCTTGATGTAGCATCTGTTGCATTTTTACAAACCTCAGTGGTTTTCAAATGCACTATCATAATCAATAATTGTAAATTGCTTTGTAATATGTATATGTATAAATACATTTAAAAAAAAGTGCACCTTTGTTTGTACCTTTGTTGTACCCGAAACCAATGGACTTGTATGAAAGGAGAGTATACAGAAAGTTCATATTTTAACTGACAATGAAACTAATGTAAAAAGTCACTTTTAACTGTGGACAAGCTTGGAGCCTTTCAAGTAGCCTTTGCTTTTAAGTCATGACAAATTAAAATTTTGAAAATGACATTCGTTAATGGTACTGTTGGTTAGTACCTGTTTTAACTTTCCTACCGATCTTTATCACCATAACACACAATTCTTATATTCGTATTGATATTGTAATGTTAATATGTAATTTACCTTCGTTTTAAGAAGCTTATTTAAAAAATTATTAACTTTACACCTTATTATCTATGTTTAGTACATTTCTTCATTACTTATATTTATTTTCAGTCTGCCACCAACGAAATTTATAAAAAAATGTATGAAAAAATGATTGCGCATGGTTGGCTAGCTGGAAATAATGATATAGGAGTAGAGAGGTAATAATGTTTTATTGTTTAACTTTTCATTACATCGCCATTTTCACTGTCTTATATTTTGGTTTAAGAACATTAAATTAATTATCTAAGTACCTCAAACCAAAGTACCAAAATTTGTCAATCGGTACAGAACTTTTTGAGTTTTGAAGCGTACATAAATCAACTTAACATTTTCTTAATATATATTTAAATATATTTGTTTCTTTTCATTTCACATTTCTTCCATAATATAATGTACGTAGATACTGGAATATTCCCAGATTTTATTACATTTACTGGTGAGCACAGTTAGCTTTATTAAAATATTCAAACTTTCTTTAGGAAACCCATTGGCCTGCATTAGGTTCATACAATATTTAAAGAATAATGTATGTGTGGGTTACCTAAAACTTCATCAACAGCCTTTACTAGTCCACTGCTGGACATAGGCCTCTCCTTAGAAAGGAGGTTTTGGCCTACTACACCACGCTGGCCAGACGGGTTGGTATCGGGTTTGTGTCAAGTTTTCCTTCTCTCTTCAGTGCTGTTGTTCTGCGTAGTTTGCTCCCTTAATCGCCTTTTACGACACCCTCGGGATGAATAGGGGTGGTGACACTGCATTCTTAATCCGTCACCACACGGACAAACTGACAGGTTCAAGGCGATAATTCGTAAAAAAATATTATTATTATTATTATTATTCTGAAAGTCATTGCTACAAGGTTCGACTGCCATATTTAAAAACATTGGGTAAAAGCAGTCATAGGTATAAAATGAAATTAATTTAATGTAATAATACTAACTTAATTATAAGCAAATTGTTACTAATACACTAAGACTATGGACTGCATCACTACGGTTTGACATAAATGATTATTATTATTACTTATTGTTTAAAATTTTTGACAGTTCTTTACTGTGGATGTTTTATGTTGACTTTGATTTTTTCAGAGCTGAAAAGGAGCAATATGCGTTTTTTATGGAATCCACGTCAATCGATTATGTCAAGCAAAGACATTGTGACCTACTTCAAGTTGGAGGGTTACTAGACTCTAAAAGTTATGGCATTGGAATGAAGAAAAGTATGAATAAGTTTCAATAATAATGTTTATAATTTGCATGAATGAAATAAATTAGGTATCTTCAGCTAAAGTAAGTGCATTAGTTGATGAATTGTAAGTCGCCTAATATTTTTGAACTGCCGACGTCATCTAGAAAAGGTGGACTAAACATTTTTATCAAACTTCTTTCTTAATATAGACGGGCAAATACTCACATTCGTATTTATAATATGAAGTGTGAAATTAGCTGAAATTATGTGTAATATGGGAGTACTTAAACAATAAAATAAAATTCTACTCCTCATATGGTCAACGATATGTAGAAAAAATACAGCTACACCTTTACTAGTAAAAGAGATTTCACGCGAGTGAAGTCGAAGGCAAAAACTAGTTTACACACTCACACTCCTTTTTTGTCTACCAATAATTGGTTGAGAGGCAAGTCTGCTGCCATCAACCGGTCACGTTGGAAAGTATAGTTACCAAAAATTGATGGTATATTTTAAGGGTAAGTAAGAAGCTTTCTCTCTAATTGGTCAGGGTCTCACTTGACTAGGTTTTGTCGGACTTGGCCCACCACACGCTGGAAGACTGTCCCCCGCCTCTGAACGCGAAGTCCTAGTCGACCAAATCGAACGAGACCGGGGACAGGTATCATTGCTGCCATGCTGGTGGGTGAGGAGGGCAGTGGAATCTTTCTGTAAAGCTGTAATGCTGTCGATCTGGGGGGACCTGAAATCACATGGGCCGGGTTCTTCCTATAGCGGGACGCCTAAGGCTGGGTGGTGGTGGTCGGGGTGGTATTTAGTGGAGACACCACATACTACTGACTCCTATAACCCCAAGGAGCCGGAGATCCGAAGGGATTTTTCACCCTGTTATAAAAAAAAAGGTCTTGTCTAGAAACCTGTGCTTTCCAACATACTGACTCATACTGAGCCCATTACCACAACGCTCAAGCGCAGGGTAGTTATATCAAAAGCTGTAGTTTATATGTCAGCAATAATTGAGAATAGTTTTTAATAATATAACTATATTTTAACTAAAATTAATGACGAAATCTAGAAAACTACTTGACCTTGAAGATAAAACTTGTCAGAGAAATCATTCTAATAGATACCCATCTCAGAAATCAATCAACTTTAAATATTCTCCAAGTCGACATTAATAGTCCACAATACTATATCTTCTAAAACGTTAAGTCAGTATTTTAACTATATGAAGTCGGAAGTACCTGATTCACATACAGATGCTTTGTTTACACCTAAATCGTATAATTTATTACTTCAATACTATCTCATTGCCTGTTGATCATATTCTATCTTCTTAAGATGGAAATTTCAAATATTAAATTACTGTGAGGGTCAGAGACTTTAAATATTATTATTAAAATCTTACAGAATCTCCATATAAGAGATTTATAGACGATGCATTGCTTCAGCTTAAAGAGCATGGTGAAATTGATAAAATGAAAACTATATGGTGGAACGAGAAACGAGGAGGGGGAAAATGTGGGGTAAGTACGTTGATACGATTGGTATGTTACTGTGAATATAGTATAGTATTACGGTAACTTGTAAGTAAACCTTGAAGTATCATGCTTGACCTGTTCATACATATTCACCTGACATAAAGTCCTGTAAGTCAAGTTATCTATGACGTCAAAAAAGTCAAAGCGCGTCTATTTACCGACATACCTGTCTTGAACAAGAAAAATATGTTAGATAATTGTTACATTGTCACCTGTCAATGCCATAAGAAAGTCACGTTTTCCTTTCCTCCTTCCTTTTAGTTTGTCAAATGTTGTTAACAACTATAAACTTCACGACGTTAATATTGGACACAGGGTCAAATTCCAAGATGCAGATTAATCCTAGTACCCAGGTAGTTACCTGGGTAGGATTAATAAGAGATAAGACTCGAACAATAAAATACAGTCGCCTACATTTGAGTACTGACATAAACAATTCAAAATCATGTATAATACTGTAATAAATAAAATGCATCCAGTAACACACGTTGACCTGTTATAGTATCAAAAATTATATGATGAGAGTCTAAGTTACCCTGTCCAAAGTAACTATATTTTAGTCTCCTACACCAAAATATTTTATACAATAAAGTTAGCACGTATAGTCGGTCGCAATTTCGCGTCTGTATCCTCGATACGGTGAGCAGTAGTATATTAACTACCTACATTTTACATATAATTTTGGTTCCACCTACGTAATAGGGTCAATTCTATAGCCTTCCACCGAACACTTATCACTCATTAAATTAGGTTTAAATTAAAGACATATTGAGAGGTGTGAAACTGTCAATGTTATCAGTAGTGTTTTCTTTAAACTTTTATCAATAGGTGGTACAGGACAAGCAGAACTGTAAATGATACTTTTTCCACTAGTGGTTACTTACTACGTTATTAATTTTTCTATCATCATTTATTTTCATTGCAGGAAAATCGCGATGAGGAACAGAAGCAATTGGGGATGAAAAATATGTTAGGCGCGTTCGTTGTTCTGGGGGCTGGCTGCGGTATCGGGTTGGTTATATCAATATTGGATATGCTTTGGGGAGTTTTCAAACGATCGGTTAAATATCAGGTAATTAGTAGTGTTATTTTTTGCAATCAAAAATTATTTATTTTATTTATTTATTGATTTAATACTTTATGCACAAAAAAAACTGTACTAAGGTGGACTTAATACAGTAGGCATTCTCTGCCAGTCTACCTTGGGGTGGTATAGAAATGAGTGACTAGTAGTGCTAGCTCAATAACAAGACTTAGTGCTAACTCAATAACAAGACTTAACTAAGAAATACGTACACAAAAGTATACGCTAAAAAAAGGGGCGCTTAGAAAAAGTAATGAATATCATTAAAACTTTCTTATAAACTACATATGTATATGTATGTATATGTTTGAACGAATGTATATGTGATATATTCGTAAAAACATATACATATATTTACAGAATTCGTAAAATACATTCGGTATTAATCCAATGATGCTTCTTTATGTTGTGTATGGTTTGGAGAATTTAAACTTGGACGTGATCATCTCCATGACGAGGTACGTGAAGGTCAGCCGGCGGTCGGTTCAAAGCAGTACACCCAGGTGATGAAACCTGGGTGTACTGCTTTGAATCCGAAAGAAAAGTGGATCTTTCCTTTTGAAGATTTGCCGTCGAAAGTTAAGAAAAGTAAAAGCATTGGTAAAAAAATGATTGCTTTTTTCTTAAGCAAATCAGAACATTACACTACAGTATTGCTTGAAGATCAAAGGACAGTGACTGCAGATATGTCAACGCGCATCCTCACATTCCGCTAAGGTAACAGAAGCCCCTTTGAAGGCCTCAAATGTGAAACTGGTGACGCATCCACCTTACAGTCCGGACCTCGCACCCTGCGACTTCTTATGTTTCTAGAAATTAAAGACAAACTTAGAGGCACACGTTTTACGAGCCTTGAATCGGGGGTGAATGCGTTTCATGAAGCCAAGCTTTGTACAGTGGTTTCAGAAAATGCAAAAATGCACTAATTGCGAGGGAATATACCAAAATATATTCCCTCGCAATTTTTCAAAAATAAAACAATAACTGTATTGTAAGTTTTATATCTAGTCTTATTTATCAGAAACCAGAAACTTTCAGTATCCCTGTGCGATGGGAATTATGCTGATAAATATACTTATATACATATTTATACATACATGTTTTTAAGAACCCGGACGGCGAACAAATGATCGTGATAGGACAGATAACTTCTAGCTTAGCAGGTACGATCACAAACCACTAAATCCTTAGCCCTCTCCTGATTAAAGACTTTCTTGTTTCAGACTACTTTCAAGTATGAACTAATTGAAGAGTTAAAATTCGTTATAAAGTTTAGCGGTAGCATAAAACCAGTCAAGCGGCAGTCAAAGAGTGAAGACGGTAGCCAGATTTTAACTAAGGAAGATGTAGGCTCTATTAAGTCCGCCAAATCGTCTCACTCGCATAGATCGCATCGCAGCTCAAGGCATTCTTCTGTTAAACTCAGTGACTCGTTTGGAAAAAAATAACAATACACTAATACTTAAATAATATCTGCTATCCAACATAATTAACAGAACAAGTATTTAACAATAGATTATGACTGCTGCATCCGCCGAACCTGATACATTTACTCTTTTTGAGGTGTAACTTCTAGTATTCTTATTAATCACCCAAACTAAGCCAAGCAGAATACTCGTGTTTGCTGGATATTACGTCTATACACTTAATTTATCGTTAATACAGTACAAGGTTAATAAATGTATATTATTATTGTTGACACGACTTTTTTCATTTCTTCCTTAAATCTGAAGGTCTAAGCAACGAGAGCAAATTACAATATATGATAATCAATCCTTTATTAGGCAGCTAAGGTCTTTTAAGGTTCCTAATTGCAGGAGCATTTTATTTGATACCCTATAACATCTTTTATTAGAAATATTATAGAGGCTTTTTAGTTAGTCTAAAAATATAGACATTACGGCGATAATTAGTTCATTCATCCTACCATTGAACTAAAAATACAAGTCACCATTTAATACACTGTATCTCAAAAACTGTAATCAACCAAATAGCGTGATGTCAGACAAAAGGTAATTAGCATTGTTGGATCCAAATAGGCATCTAAATTAGCCAGATATTAGAATAATGGAAAGTAGATTCATTTTGATGGCGATGATAATTTAATAAGTTATATCATAAACATTCTTCGGATAGGGCTCGGTTGAATTACGTAATAGAATAATGGGAAAGTATTTTCTCGGCTTAGAGAAGATGAGCTTTATGTCGTAATTTATTAAACCCGTCCTTTTGATCATTAATATGCATAGAACTATATTTTTGAATAAATGTTACATTATTATGTTAAATTATGCTAATAAAACTGAAAACTAAATAACAAACTTAACTCCTTTTACTGATTTATGGAGCTCTAACGCGCTAAGTCAGTGAATGAGTCATGTGAGTGAATGAATAGAATAGAAGATGTACCTGTCCGTGGGTAATTAGAGAACTAGTCCCACGCCTTATCCATTTTCCTTCTCCCAATTTATATTCCTTTCTTGTCCTCTCTGAAAATCTGAAAAGAAAATCTGAAAGGAAAACTGCAAAAGAAAAAAGTTGTTACGTATTGCACCGATGGGCCGCCATCGGCCGGCAGATTATGATGAGAAACTACTATACTATATATTGAAGGTACTATACTATATTTTACTATTACAGTTATCGATACTAATCGCCATACTATAAAAAAAAACAGGGACACCAAACAAACTTTATTGCAGAGACTAAATTGAGTTAGTCATTCTGACAGGCTTTCTTAGTTTGTTTATGGTTATACGGAACACACGAGCAGACGGGTTACCTGATGGTATTTATATTGATTATGTAGAATATATTGACTGTATTAACGAATGCACACTGACAACAGAACTAGAGTGCCTGTTTATCACGTGAGTAGTCAGTAGTGTCCTTAGCAGTTAGACCACGATCTTACAAGATGTAATTATATGAAAATATCGTTCCGGTTGGCTTAAAAAGAAGAAAAAGTTATAATATGATCTACGATGTTTGTAGAGGATGTTGCATCAGTCTTATCGTAGCCCACGGACACCTGCAACTTAGAAGTTTGTGTGCTGCTGCCTTTGATGCCCCAGATTTAAGATTGGTTCGGGCCTCGGGAACCTCAATTACTCGGTAACATACAACGAAAGCCTAACACCGGTTTGCTGAAACTTTGCTTTTCCACAGTAAAACCACAAAGGATTACAATGAAAAAGCGCAACTTGCCTGGTGTTGTTTTATTTTTCGTTCTAAGTTTACCAAACCAACCAAAACTCCACTTTCACTCCATTTTAATGTGCTAGTAGCACCACTGGTGTTATAAGAGCTTACGTGAATTGCAGCTTAATTTAATTAAAATTACATAATAGTCTGTTTTAATCCACAGAAAGCAATTATAAATCAAGCTTTGTCAAGAAATAGGAAGTAAATATTAACGGCAGACATGGTCAGTTTCATTAAAAGTAATACACCAGCTTTGTACTAAATTTGAAAGTTGCTCTTAACTCTTACTGGAGATCTGAATATTATTATTTAGACATTTCCTCTAAAAAGCTTTAGGCAATCAAAACAAAAAAAAAACATGTGGTAAAAATTATTAAAATATAAATGAAAACTAAACTGTTATTTTACTTTTTATTATTAAACGTGGATATAAATATAGCTTCATTTTTACAGTAAAGTAAGAACTGAACTTCTAATTCCTAATGTCTTTAAAAGAAGATTAATAAGTACTTTCAGAAGTTATTTCTAATCACGAGTACGGACATTGCTGGTCGGGGTTTAAATAAAATAGCGCTTAACGCTTTTCAGAGGCATTAAATAAGCCAACCGACGCCGTTTTCAAGGTTTGTAGTTATAAATTCTGTTCATAGTTTTAATGTAAAAGGATGTTATTTCATTGTCCAGAGCGAAATGGATACCGACCTTTGCGACCACAATCTTTCACTGCGGTTCCATTAACTTAACAAATTGCGCGGCAGTAACTTATAACTTTACGCATAGTTAACATCGAACGCAATAAATTACTCCTACGCAATATCTGACTTAATTTATAATCCTGAAGCGTATTTTATAAAATTTTAAATAAAACATTGAACAAAACAATGAATTTCAATGCGTATATGTTGTTGGCTACTTCAAGAATACTTACCTATTAAATGATTTACCAGCGATGCAGTTTTCTACGTTACACCCCATTAAAAGTGTCATTAACCAGTATGCCCTCAAGATCCTTGTTCAGTATAGATCTTTAGATAGAATAACACAAACATGAGTCATTTGGTTCGGTTGCATGCAATATCCAAAGTGATATTAGGAAATAGAGTAGGAGTTGTCTGGGGAGAAATACATATAGCTATCGTCCATATACCATTAGAGAAACCTCTGTGATATTTAATATATGCAGATAATATGATTGTTAACTCAGAAAACAGAAATACCAAAACTAAATTGTCACGACTAAATTAACTAATCTACAACAATCGTATACATACTGCGCCTCCAAGGTAAAAACCATCAATAAAGCGAAGACATAACTTGATTTCCCTCTGGATTGCTACTAGTCAAACTTATCTGCGAGTAATGCACTTCGAAACCTAATCTTCGAAACTAAGAGAAACTAATCCAATTAACTAGATGCCTGTAATCGCTATATCTTTCGCCCAAATAAGTTGTCAACTGTCCCGAATATAAGCAATGATCACCAAAATAGTGAGCTCCTCAATCAAGCGCCTTTATTACCGCACCCTCTTCACATTAGACACATTGTACAAAGACAGACACCGGGCATTTCTCAAACCATGTGCTAATTAACAAGTTGACGTATGAAGAATCTACTGGACAACGGAATTTGATCCTGACTGAAGAAATTCTTTACATAACAAATTATGGGACTTTGTTTACAATATTAAGGTTAAATAACTATACATATTTTGACTGTGTGTATTACTACCATGAATCATCAAATCAGATTTTTTATAAGTAGCTCACCAGTTCAGTATTTTAAAAGCGGATTCATATCTAATCTAACCGCACAGGTTTCTCTAGTTGCATTTACAGTTTGTTTGCAAGCGACGTGTCATCGTCACCGCACACGAATCTCACGACCAACCCTTAATTTTTATTTTTACTATTATTTTTGCAAAAATACAAAATAACTACATATACCATTTTATTAAAACAGAAACTACGAAGGGTTTGGGTGTATTCGTTCTACAGATAATTTATTTTTGGTTAGATCAGGAAAAAAATCATATTTAAGTCAGATAAAGAAGATCAGAAGATGAAGATCAGGAAAAAAATTCTGTATTTATTATGGCTTAAAATTGTACTAAAGTTCTAGTGACAGATTGAGGCACCTTTTTGTTGCCGAAAGTATATTACTACTACTATCCTCGACCGATTTCGGCCACGGCGAACGACTTCAACTCCCTTCAAATTGTCGTTGGTGTGCTCGTGTGTGGCTAACATAACCGATCTTATTTTTTTTTTAAGAGGCAACTGTACAAACATACATGAAACAATTGTAATACAAACGTTGTTGTAACAAACGTTGTTGTACTAGATGATTTTCAATAAAGAGTACAAGATGATTGATAAAATGGAAGCATTCTATGGTGATCTCATACGTATCGACAGTTACTGGGTGAATATAGCTGTAAAGTTTTATGTACCACGTCATAGTGCATACCATTTGTGCCAAGACTGCGTCAAGATTTATGCATATAGTGTTACCGTGTACATGTACAGAGACTGTGTCTCTTATTAAGATTGATTATTAAGATTGCTATCGCGAAGCTTACTTTTGTAGTATTTGCTCTGCGAAATTGTACACTATTATTTAAGCTAGTCTTCCGGATGCTGTCTTGCGTGGATCCTGTCTGGCCTGATGTTCTGCTCTTCCCAGTCTTTGGCGATTTTATTTTGAAACTTGGAATATAACTGATTTGTGTCTATTGGTGATAAATTAAGCGATTGTAAATTTTCCCACAAGTCATCATTCCCAAGCCCATTATCTGTTTCTGATGTAAATTTGTATCCTGTTTGTTTTGGTTGTGTGGACACCCGTAATTTATTTATTATTTCTTCTTGTACATGTACTTCTTTCCATAGAGCAAATTGTTTGTCATCTTCGTATAAATAAACATGATATAGTTTGTTGTTGTGATTTATTGTTACTGTACTAACACTTTTTAAGCCCAAGTTAGATACAGATTCTAACACTTCATCTCGTTCCTTTTCCGCCTCTCTCACAGTGTACTGTGTGTTTTGTTCTTTAATTTTTCGTTCATACAACTCTTGTAACGGTGTTTTTTTTTTGGCGCCTACTTTTATTACCGCTAACTTGTGTTCTAGATTGTCGCTACTGTATTGACCGTTTCCTGGTATTCCCAACGTCGTATTCTTTCCTATATATCTTATTAGAATTTTTTGTTTTTCTATTTCTGCCCTGTAATGCTGACGTAACATTTCATTATTTTGCGCAATGTTTAATTTCTCATCTTCGCTCATTTTTCCGTTTATTCGTTTTTGTTGAGGTACCGTTTCCGCCTTTACATAGCGGTACCATCGTCCGTCAACCGGATCTCGCACTGCTTCTCCTATTTCGTACCATTGTTTGTTGCTAGAGGTGGATTCAACTTGGCCGATTTCGGTTTTGGTTTTTCCGTGCGTGTTGCTGGTGCATTATGAGCAGGCGTTGCTGGTACATTTTGTGTAGGCGTCGGTTGTCGCTGTGTTTCATGGTGCGTGCTTGTAGATGGCGTTGGTGTAGGTGTTTTCAGTTGCTCTAGCGTTTTCGGTTACTAAATCCTTTCGATTCTTCGTCTTTTTAAAATATTCCGTAATCTTGTGGTACTTTTCGTCGTGTTTTTTCGCTGCACTGTCCAACGCGTTCACAGCAGTTCCACGATTTAAAGAATTTCCAGGTCCCAAATATTTATAACCAGGAAGAGTCCAACCACTTTGATCACTCTCACGCGGCGGATCGGCCATATGTGGCAGATCACGCGCACACTGGCTCTTTTATACGATTCAAACGTCCTTTCATTCATGACGTCATTCGGTGAGCCGTTCACCACTAAAAGTGGGCTGAAGGTTCGTTATGTTCGGTAGGGTGGGTTAATTGAAGAGGATATATACATGTATATGTGTATTGTGTATGCAGGTAGTAGTAGTAGTAGTAGTAGTAGTAGTAGGATATAAGGAACAGTGTAACCTAACCTTTTTTTTTAGTTAACGGGGGGAGATCCTCATGGATGTCCTCCGCCCAGGGGAAAGGGCGGAGGGGTCTGTCAGACTCCTACTGACTAAAACCCCCCGGTGTTCCGTCTCTCACCTACGCCGGGGATCGCGGGAACCGAGGTTACTTCTGCAATCCCCGACTGGTGCGGGCCCGCCGCTGCGGGCCACATCGCGTCAGCGAGGGGAGTGAGGTGTTTGACTCCCCTCGCGACTACACAGAGGGGCGCACGGGAACACAACGCGCCGTCACCTCGGGTCCAGATGGGGGCGACGAACATCCCCAAGTCCGTCGCCCCTGGACCCAGCTAGGGGGGCCGGTGGAGGGCTCCTCAGGGCCGTAAATAGCGTGTCATCGGCGTAACAAATAACGCCCAGCCCGGGGGGGAGTCCGACACACCACCCTGCTGCAAACCCCGATGGGTGACGGCCCGAGGGGGTTTCCACACGTAAAAAAATAAAAAAAAAAGAAGGCCCAGGCTATGACCGCGCTCACCTTAGGTCTCCGGGATCAGGCCTTATCCGTCTTCGAAACCCTCGGTAAGCAGGTAACGTGTGAGCATCTGCTGGAAGCATTGGAGGCAAGATATGGTGACGCTCACCTGGAACACGTCTTGCGCAACTGAGGGATCGTGCCCAACGCATCGATAAAAATTTGCAACAATGGTTGAAGTTGAGAAACTGGTCCGTAAGGCATATCAGTCTGCACCTGCGCTCGTTAAAGGGAATCTGGTGCAAGTCTTCATCGATGGCATATGTGACCTCGAAGTGAGAGCGGCCCATACTTTGAAGGTAGAAGCCGTGAGACAAGACCATTGGTCTCATCGCGTCCGGGAGGTTGTGGCGTCACCTGTGCGGGACCGTTTTAAGGGGTATAGCCCTAGACGTTTCGCCTGTGGCGAAAAGGGTCATCTTCGGTCTAGCTACCCTAAGCGAAGCATAGGAAGTGAAGACGAGCGGCCTCAGAAGATTAGGGCGGCTAATGGCACTATCCAGCAGCAGCAGGGAAACGAGTAAACACCAGGACTGGGGGCGAAAAAAAGAGCAAAGGGCAAAGAGCCCCAAGGATTTCGATCTCGCAAACCCATGATGGGAACAGCCCGGTCATCAGAGGCGAAATCAATGGAACGCCTTGATGTTTCCTTTGTTGTTTTGATGTTCCCGGATGTTTAATAAACATTTTTAATAAACGATAGGTATAAATAAAAAAACATGAAATTTCAAAGAGAGTACTCATTTTTTTTTCATTTGTGACGCAGTGTAATAATTATTGTTAGTAAAAGTCAAAAACAGAAAGGAAGCGGGGAATGTATTAAAACACACCAGCTCATTTCCCGTTAAAAATGTCCTTAATATGTTTTGTAGCGTTTGCAGTAGAAAATAAACACTTGCGACCCTAATCTTATTATAAACTTTTATACTACGGCTGACACAAAATAAAACTATAATACTTGACCTGAATGGCTGTGCGACAGCGGATGGTAATCGGTCTATTAGCTTATTATTTTTAACCGCACGTCTAATATTAAACGGTGTGCTCAATTCGAATCTACCTTCATCATGTTCAGCTTATAAATTAAGCTGATTATAATAATAATAAACTTTTAAGGCTATTTTATACCTAACTAGTGAACACCTGGTTGTCAAAATTCGATGTCTGTAAGTAAAAGTTGAACTCTCATTATTTTACTATCATTATACTATATATATTACTTTACATATTATAACAGGTCACCATATGAAATACTGGACGCGTGGAACTATGTTTAGCCGTTAGCACATTTTTTTGTTAGTAATACCTACTGTTTAAAAACTGTTGTAATAGTAATCTTTAAACACGCAATATTTATCTTACCAGTTACTGAATTTTCCTGAAAAAAAATATTTGTTCGCAAAAAATCATAATTAAGTATTATTAAAAATTTATACAATTATCCTAATATAACTAGTTATTTCTTACAACCATTTGTAATGTTTAATAAAATATAATTCATTAATCGGCATAGATGTCGGCTTTTATGTGGAAGGTTACGACATGACATCTTTCGAACTAACATGGAATTACCAACACAGAGGTTCCTTGCGACTCAAGCCTTGACAGGCGAACTCAACAAACTTTTCGGAACCACTCTTTTGTGAGTGCTTGAGTAACTTTGCAAAAGCTCCGTATTGAAGCGATAGATGGCGTTAAGAGTTATTTAGGCACGTTATTTGGAACAAAACATTAGATAATAATCAGCAATAGATAAATCATTGCAACCATATCTTTACAAACATTCAGTGAATAATTTTAATAATTTATAAACACGATTAAGATTCATTTTTATTATGGTACAGGAAAACGAGCTGACTGGTGTACGGGTCATACGTGTAGAACTGTAACTCAAGAGACAGAATAGCGTTGCCGCCCTCTGAGTGCAAGAGAGGTACAAGGGGGTCCTTCTTCCGGTGACCTCATGCGGTGAAAAGCAATGAAAGGATAACTTAACACTGGTTTTCCGGTCGAGTCGGTCCATATTTGATTATTCGATCAAAAATTACAGTCCATTGTATAATTATTTCTTTTCGGTGAACGTTTTCTCTGTTAATTGGTTACTTAGCACTCATTTCAAGATTGTTGTAAACCAGTTTAAATGGCTTGGTCTTTTTGGCTTGGTAGTTTAAACCTCGTAATAATATTCTCTCTGAAAACATTTTCTTCGCCGTTTCAAAAGCATCTAAATTTAAAAAGTGTTGGACTGTAGCAGTGGGTAGATATACAACATGCAACGGACGGAGATATAGGACATGCAACGGACGTAGCTAACATGTTAGAGATCAAACGTTATAAAGACCTTCAAAAATATTATCAAATGGCAAGACAGAAAAATACTGAATAGTATTCACTGTGTAACTGCCGTAATTCAGACAAATCTAATGATTTCTCAATGTAATTGCTTCATAGTGCATGGTTCAGTAAAAGAAATAGACTAAGGATTAGACATACCAGGCTGCACAGAATGTCTAGCAAAAACGGTTTTGGCAGGTTACAAGTTTTTTTTTTAAGTAAGATTATGTACCAGAGATAATTAAGAAAATTAGAAGTTCCAATTCATAATTCAATCAATTCATCAATATTTGCATAGCAAGGTAAAGTTAATCAGTGGCGCTTCTGTTTCTGGCTGTTCTTCGCAAACTAAAATCTATTCGTTGACACGAGTGTCGACTCAACCGCAAAATCGCTTTAACATTTGCTCATTTGTACATGAGGATTTGGAATAAATACATTGTTTATTAGTATTACCCACCTACTACATATTTTCAGCTGAATATAAAATATTGGTCCAATACAATCTATCTAATAACTTCATATCCATCTATCTAACTAATAACTTCATATCTTACTGCTTCTTTAAAGCTGTCAATCACGCGTCAAATATCATTTTTTGACACTAATAAATAGGAGATTCTTAATGACGTGAAATTTTTTAAACGTATTTGTTGAAACAGAGTTGTGTATATATTACCGTCCGAAGACGAATATGTGACTTAACTTTAAAATTAGACTATGGTACAAGGTGACCTGAAGACAATAATGCCGAGGACCATCGATGACATAAGAAATGTTGATAACACGGAGAAAGTACCTGCAAAGATTAGTACATTGAATAGTAAATTTTTTACCTAACATTGTACGTATCAATCGATCTCGGTAAGATTTGGTAGTCAACATGTTAAATGGCAGATGTAGCCGCTTTTCTTCTCAGGCGGACTACTCACCGGCTGACCCAGTGGAGAGATTTATGAGATAACCTCAGGACGCCTTTTAAGAGTGTGGGAAACCTACGGGATTCCTTAGAGGAAAACAACTCACACCTCAGTCATACATACATGTATATTTCAAAAAAAAAACAAAATTAAAGTTACAATAGAAAAAATAAATAAATTAATCAGTGGGTACAAGAAAAACCGCAGCGGAGCGCGTCAGAGCCGAGCTGATGGTGCTCGGAGCCTCCTCGTCTTCACTCCAGGAGGTCACTTCCCCTTCCGCCCGAGTCGGCTATTTATATTAGATATTGAGAAAAGTTCACTATTGGTATTTATAAAGATAAATAGAAGTACGTAACCCTTGGGTACGGCTGTCCGCTTGCTTGGTGAGCCGCGTGACTGCCAGCTCGCCAGAGGGTACCGAGAAACTTGAATTCGAACCAGAAGGCCACAAACGAACAAGCACGCCGTCTGAGACTGACCGTCTTGACCCCGAAATCTGGGACCCTACGAATGGATTAGCACTCATATTATTGATCAGGTTCCAGAAACAAATAGGTACAAGAAAAATTAAGACCATACTCACCACTTAATATATTATCTGTTCAAAAGTACCCACGGGTACTTTTGAACAGATAATATATTACGAAAATCAAATCACACGACAATCAAAACACTATTTAAGATTGGAAGACACGAGATAGCAGAGTGTCTCCCGTGGCTGAAAGCCGGACTTATATATGTTCGGTTTCCGAAGTTTCCAGAGATAATCTCTTCTTAACATTTTACTTTGACATTTAAATTATCAACGAGGTTAACACGAACAAAATCAAAAGTAACTCGCTTCCTACCATTACAAAACACTCTTAATACCTATACAATTTGTCATGATAAATTAATAAAAAGACTTATCTCAAACAAACGCCATCTAGTGGTCCGACGGCGAACGAAGAAGATCAATACTGTAGTTATAAACTACTTTGGATAAATCAAACAAAAGGCAGCAG